AAATGAAGAGTTGGAAAAACTGAAGAAACTTCGAGTTATTCAATACTGAATTACTGATGAGCAAATGCTGGTTGTGACGAGCAGAGCAATGAAGCCAGTGATGTTTAAAATGTCTCTCCGAGGCCATTTAAACAACTGGGCGCTCTATCAGATAAGTAACGTGCAAAATATCGTTACAGCCATGTATAAAAAATCCGATGTGCACAGCATGTTACTTTGCCGGAAACCGGTGGTGCATTAGTGAGTTGTTGCGCATTGGGGAATAGTACCATACTTTGACAGCTTATTATGCATTGTTTGCTGCAACATTTGCAGGAAACGCATATTGTCGAGTCCCCGTGTGTGTGTGTTTGTGTGTGTGGGTGTGTGTTCCGAGTACATTTTATCCGCAAATTTCAACTTGAAAACCAGAGAAGCTTGGAAGCTGAAATTTTAAGGAAGGACCCTCCTACCCGTGTGTGTTCTCGCAAACTCAAACTGAGCACCTGTGCGCGCCTAGACTTCACGTATGGACACGTGAAAGTTTTGATGCTTAATAACTAGGAAAACACAGAAAGTAGAAAGCTGAAATTTTACAATACTCCTACATTGTCTTCGCATGTCTTATTCTCATGTACGAAGAAGGGAAAGTTTTGGTGCTAAAATTATTAACTCAGGGACCACGAACAGTAAAGTTTTGGCATCGAAACCGGCGTGTAACGCATTAAGCAGTAATGCAGCGGACACTTTTAACAGCAAGGTCCTCCTGAATAGAGTTGCATAAGCGTTCGCTGGAGAGTGTTGCAAAAAACGCATGATCGCACTAGTTACCCTGGTGCGCACCGATATTTGCTTTTTTATTCTAATTATTAAATAAGCGATTATAACCGTAGTTTGTATAAACATTACGCTGTTTTACAGGATGCATCAGGTGTAAAAATTACAACATTCCAGAAAAGCACATATTTGAGAGAAAATGCTGTCAATAAGTTTGCCTTCGACATTTTCTATTGCAGCAATAGAATTTTTTCGTTACAGAAGTTCTTAGGAATTACTAAAGCGAAAGCAAATCTTTCCGAGATATTTTTCCACTCGCCGTTTTCGGTAACGAATCCACAATTCTGAGGCCACCT